CGCCGTCGGCAGTTGGCAGATCGGAGATGGAGGGGGAGAGGGGGCGGGTGCTGGTGGTGGGCGGGAGCGGCTACCTCGGCCAGCACCTCCTCGCCGCGCTCGCCGTCCACGGCAGCGTCGACGTCGACGTGGCCTTCACCCACCACCGCGGGACCGCGCCGCGGCCGCTCCTCGACGCGCTCCCCGGCGCCCGCGCCTTCCGCGCCGACCTCCGCTCCGGCGACGGCCTCCAGGCCGTCGCCGCGTCCTTCGGCCAGGTACGCGCAGGCCCCCTCCCCCATTCCCTCCATCCCAATTTCGTCCTGGTTAATGCCACTGCCCGCGCACTGGCATTTCGTTTTGCCAAATCCGCAGCTCCAGCAGCCAATCAGTACTAGCGCATTGGGCCTGGGAAATGTTTGCCCACCCGTCGCCTCTAGGCTCTACAGCAGTTGGCTTCGATGTAGCGGCAAGAATCCGGCTGACTGCAAATCTGCAATGCACGACTCTACTGAATTTTTCACGGTGCTGTAAAATGGCCTGACTGTGCCACAAGAATGCCAAGAATGTGGCCTCTCGCAGTGCCAGCTAACAGAGCCACCGCTAATCTTCCACACTGGATTTCTCCCTCCACCAATGGTGGTGGGTGATATACCTATACATGAACCCACCCCCACGGTCAAGTACTCTACCATCAGAGTGTTAATCAATATCCGGAGATCATTTCTGCGCCTGCGTAATTTTTCCCTTGTTTCTTTCATGCTTGGGTGCAGTGTACTCATTATAAAGTGTTGAGACACTTTTCGACTATCCACAACTGTTTCATCAAACCATGTGTATTACTCATCTCTTGCTCTTTTCATACTTGAGTTTGTAAACTCCCATTGCTGTCCTCTAACTGGGAGTGCTAATGCTTGTCCTGTTCAGCCACATGTGATTGTGAACTGTGCTGCAATCTCGGTTCCTCGGGCGTGCGAAGCGGACCCAGCTGCTGCCATGGCCACTAATGTGCCTTCTTCACTTGTTGATTGGTCGCTGAGCTTCGGGAATGACAGGACTCTTTTGATTCATCTCTCCACAGATCAAGGTAGAGCACTCTTGTCAATTGATGTGTGATACATTCGTACTGTTATATTTGACATCCGCCGTTAATTTACGGACAAGCATGCATCCACTTGCATTTGTATTTGTTGGTAATTAGAACTACTACTTGACCTAGTTTAGGTTTACTTTATCATCTTGGTGAGCTTAAGCCAAGGGCAAATGAAGAGCTTACCAAAGTTATACCTTGCTGATTGCCTGATCCGTAGTACTATAGAACTGTATAAAGGGAAGCCTGGTGCACGTAGTATGTAACTATATATTTACGTTATTTTTTACTAAGATGCCATCTTCTTTGCCAACTCCAAACCTAATCTAGAACTCATGTGCAACAGTTTATGAGGGGGTGAAATCCTTCTACAAAGAGGAGGATGAGACACTGCCGGTGAACATGTATGGCAAATCAAAAGTTGCTGCAGAGAAGTTCATTACTGAGAAATGCTCAAACTATGCAATCTTGAGAAGCAGCATCATTTACGGGCCACAAACAATCTCTCCTGTTGAAAAGTCGCTCCCTATCCAGGTAAGATAACCAATCACTCCAAAGAATTGTTGCTAAATTCAAAATAAAATAAAATTGTTTGACTGCACAACAGTTGCAGAATGTAGTGTCTAATTAGAAACTGCATGCCTCTTTGGTTGCAGTGGATGAACTCTGTCCTTTCACAAGGCCAACAAGTTGATTTTTTTAATGATGAGTACCGCTGCCCAGTTTATGTAAAAGATATGGTGGATGTAATATTGTCTTTAACAAAAAGTTGGTTATCAGGTATGAAAAGGGTGAATTCAATGTGATTTTATGGAGTGCAGTTATTAGGAATGCTCCTTGTATATGGCGTGATGGTTAACTATATGAAATCTGCTCTTTCTAAAATGCACTCCATTTTTCATTTAATAACTTCAATATTACATCCATTGCATCTTAAATGGTTTTATTATTTATTATTCGTTTATCAGTTGCACTGACACTAAAGTACATATTGCAGATGGCAAAAAAATTCAGGTACTTCTGAATGTAGGTGGACCAGATAGGGTTTCAAGACTGCAGATGGCTGAGTCTGTTGCTGAAGTTCGTGGATACAGCAAGTCGATAATCAAATCTGTGCCTGCATCATCGGTATGAACTCTACTTCTGCTCTTCCTTTATGCCTTATTGGTTTCCAGCCTGATTGCCTGAAATGAGTTCATTTCAAGCATTGTGTAGTCATATGACCCTTTATCAGTGGCTAATGGCCCCATCCATTTATTATTATCCAGGTTAACCGGGGTGTAGCTTCACCGCCAGACATATCCATGGATATCACCAGGCTAACTCAGACGCTCGGTATCCAGCCGATTACATTTCTGGATGGAGTCAGAGCTACACTTGACGCAGAAGCCAGTACATGATATTCATAAATTGTTTGTTCGAGTTCCTCCACAAAATATCCGAGTGTGACACAAAGAACCCCCTTTCTTTTACCTGACAAAGAACCCGCTCTACTTTGCCGAAATCGCAGCGGCGGTAGATTTTGTTGGATCTGTACGCGTGAAAGATGTAACTTTGCTACCATCGAACGACCTGCCCTTGGTTTTACTGTCTGTACCATTCTGAATAAAAATGGCATCCATGTGTCTTCTTCAGAAGTCTGTACTTCTGGTCTGCCACATATGCCCTTACCATATACCAGTATCACCAATGAAGAATCTTTTCACTCTGATGAATGTTATTACGTTTGATAATTTTAAGTAGGATGTCTTACTGACCAGTTAGGCTGGCTGAAATCTTGTTTCTCTGGAGGATATATCTTACTGACCCTGTTCTGTGTAAGTGGTATTTTACTTTTATTTTACAGTCTCGGTGAGTAACCATGTTTTGCATATATATCTAAAGTAGATTGAAGTGCAGGTTCTTGGTGTGCAGCTCTGTCAAACCCAAGCAGACAGCGGATGCGGGATTCACGCGGCCACGAGGGGAGACCGTGAGGCAGTATCCTTGTGGCAGAAGCAACATGATTTGACTCATGCCCTTGTCTTGCAGAGTGGCCTGGGGACAAAGGTAAATCAGTACGGCTGCTGTTCCAGTGCTAATCAAGCATTGGAAGGCATATGGCTATGAATTTAAGGAATGCCCTGTTACTGGAGGCTGTAGCATGAGTGTTATTCCTAATCCCTGTTGCCATTGACCACACTGCAGGGGAACACAGATGGCGTGGGTCCCGCCGCCCAGGTAACACCCATATGCTCCTGCAATGCTAGATCCATAATATGTATCACTCATTCATATGAAGCAAAAAAAAAAAAAGAGCATGCCAGTTAGTGAATGTCTGCATTCTTATGCTTTGCAACTATGCTAATCGTGCCAGATTAGCTAGCCTGCCCCTGTGGCGATCTGTGTGAGGCAGCTCATGGGCGTTCATTCATTGTCAACACCAAGAGCACCACTGGATGGCCTTTCCACAGGTAAGCAAGCATGCATGCATATCAGTACTAAGTCAGTGTTATTGCTCGTACAACTCCATCAATTCTCCAGCTAGAGCGGCATTAAGTGGGAGAGCAAGCATTGCTCTTCAGCAGTGGTCTGGTTGCTTGATTTTGAATCGCTGCCAGACCTGCTCGCAGTGAGCGGGCAGCATTGATGAACCAGGGCACTCACACAGTTAACACCTCACTGGCGCCGACACACATCAATTAACAATTGCGTAACATGTCCATCTTAGAATCTATCATTATCAAGTAGTGGTACAGTCAGTGAGGTTTGTGATCTAGTAGTAGTGAGATTTGTGATCTAGTAGTAAAATCTATCAAGCAGTAGCACTACTGCCAGTGAGATTTGTGATGGTAATTTAGCCAGGGTGGTTGGTTGGGAGCTTAGAATCTGTCAGGCTTGCCAAAAGTGCTAAGCTGGCAAGGAAGACGCGTGTAGACTGAAGATTTGTGCAAGGAAAATGACCACCTTTACCTCTTCATTAACGCTGCTGGATGCTTCCTAAACTTGGAGACTGCGCTTTACATGATTTGTTTATTTAATCGAGGGAAGGGGAGACTGTGCTTTACATTGACATTTGTGTCTTGTTCGATCCAGCCTTGCACTATTTAGATTTAGATTACTGGGCACCTACCCTGTTTGTGTCCGGATTCCCACCAGGTGTGGGGTCCACGCTGCTGGGGAATCTACTGCTGCTGCTAATTAAGCTTGAGCTACCGCCATGCATGCACTGAAAGTTTAATGGTAGGAGACATCTCCTTTCACCCTATTAGATTTATTTATTTTGAAAAGTTCACCCTATTAGATATAGATAGATAACTTGTGTCTGTGACCTAAGGCATGGGGTTCCTGCTAATTAATCAATTAAGCTTGAGCCTTGAGCTACTGCCATGCTCTGAAAGTCTAATGAAGGGTAGGAGACATCTCCATTCACCCTACAGTTAACTTGTGCCTATGACCAAGGGCATGGGGTTCCTGTTGACAGGGCCATTGGTTCCCTTTGGTTGCTTGGCTGGGCAGGATAACATAATGGCATGGAGGACTTGCTGCCACAAGCAGCCAAGGTTGTCAATGGCCCCCTGCACTGCCCTGCCATTTTTCTATGCACCATGAGTTTCATGTAGTACATATCTTTTCTTTCTAGACTAGATATGTAGTTTATGTAGCCTAAAGTGCACTGCTTTTCCTCGCGGAAACCTTGCTAGCACCTGCTCCCCTTTCTAGATCGCCAAGTCCATGGATGGGACACTTGAAGATACCAAAGAGAGATATCCCATATCTGGTCAGTAGGATTAGCCATGCCCATGCATGCTTTTCTCCTAACCATGGCAGGTCCCATGCCCAGCTCTGGTCTCCATATCCAAGAAATTCAGGAAACAAGGATTTTTTCTTTGCTGTGGGGCCCACATGCCAAGATTTTAGTGAGCCAAACACATTGCCATACACCATGTAGTCAGAGTCAGTGGAGTACCACTATAGGCCATACTATATAGGATGGAGGATCACTCGGTGTCTATTTCTTGTTACCTGTGTCTCCTCTTATTAGTGGCCTCTCTCTCCCAGCTGCTAAATCCATATTAATACCCTCCTCCTCCCCTGCTCCTCTCTCTGTCTCTGTGTCTCATGCCATGAGGAGGCCCTCCCAGCAGCACTCCTTGCTCCCCTGCATCCTCCTCCTCCTCCTGCTCCTTGTTTCCATGTCACACCTGCCGAGCTCGAGCCATGGCTTGAGAACGCTGAGGGAGGAAGAAGAAGCGGTCGGTGAGCTCATCACAGGCCAGCATGAGCTTCCCCCAACCATCTCCCCTACTCAAGAAGCAGGCGGCGACGACGTTGCCGCTGCCGACGACATCGGCGCCGGGAAGTTCACCGTGTCGAGGAGAGCGGTTCCTCAGGGGCCCAACCCTCTGCACAACTGACGAGGAGGATCGACGCCATCGGCTCCGGCGGATCTCTGCAGCAGGTTCATGGCCCTCACCATGGCCACCAGATACATATACTATACCCTTTTTTTTTGGTCCCCCATTATTTTTTTTAGCTGGCTATTCTAGAAAGATGATAATACGGTACAGACAGGCCGTAGTACCACCATTGATGTGTGTGTGTTCATCAATACCCGTGGCTCCCTCCCTCCCTCCATGATTAGCTGTATCTCTTGTGTATATATGCAGTGATTGATGTTACAAGGCCGTGAAAGTTGTTGATCAAGCATTTACGTGCTACCACTCACTACTCCCTCTGTACATGTACAGTAATGTAAGGTGTTTTCGCAGCTCAAATTGAACCGCAAAAAACACCTTATATTAGTGTGCGTACAGAGGTAGTGCTCCCTCCGTTCCTAAATATAAGTCTTTTTTAGAGAGATTTCAATATGAACTACATACGGATGTACATATATGTAGCAGTTTAGGGTGTAGATTCACTCATTTTGCTCCGTATGCATGTAGTCCATCCTGAAATCTCTTAAAAGACTTATATTTAGGAACGGAGGGAGTAGATAGTAGTGGCGTCTTTGTAATCATAATTGAATAGGATCTGAAATTCTGAAATGGTACTATTGTTGTTGCTTTTTTCCTTGTGTGAAGAAATATAATTAAGCTGTGTGTTTTGGGCTGTGATACTAGCATCTCTTGGTTGTTGGAGGGCTCCCATCTAGTAGTGGTATCATCTGCTGATCTATAAAGAAGAACAGCCAGGAGGCGCATGTGAATGTTTAATCAACCCCGTGACCGTGAGCAGAGCAGGTGTTAATTATTTTAACTAATCACGGGCTGATTAAGGCGTCTCCTCTCCTTTTTTGCTTCCAAATCCGTTGGCCATCTTTTCAAGAGACGGACCGACTGAAGCAAAGCAAAGCAGAGTAGTAGTAACAAAATGTCTGTAGCTGGCCGTACGAATTTATTTTTATTTCTGGGTGATTCAGCTGGGCTGGCTGTAGTTGGGTGAGCGTGTCAGCGGTGTCCCCGGAGGACAGGACGTAACGCGGCCGGCGATGAGACGTACAGGTGATTAGGTGACGGTGGTCGGTGGTGGTCAAAGCTCCGGCCGGTCTCCAAGTTGAGCTGCTGTGAGTTGGGGTGGGTGGAGGTGGAGGAGCAGCTGGGCAGGCGATTTTGCTGCTCAAACTCATCTCGAGATCCCAGCCAGACACTAACCTACAATTGTCAGGCAGTGCGGTGTCTCAACCCTGGACTGGACTGAGCTGGCTGTGTCTTCTTATAATTTCCAGAGTTTGCTCCTAGCCATCGATTAATCGAGGGTATATTTGTTGTTCATGTAAATATAAATATGATAAAGTATACAACGAAGCTAAAAAATATATTCTGGTGGCAGATTTGTAGCAGGTTGGAGCGAGGGTCTTCATTAGATCAACTAGACGATGCCCCGTGCATTGCTGCTGCTGCGGGAACCTTGTAAACGAGGTATGGATAAACGGTACTCCCTCTGGAAAGCAATGTAAGAGTGTTTAGACCATTAAAGTGGTAGTGAAATTGACCGGAACGAATGGTGTAACGACTGCCCCGCTATCTCCGACATGGACCCGGCGATCTAAATGCTTTTATATTTTTTTTACGGAGGGAGTGGAAGACTAAAATTAATGAAAAAACAAATATAAACGTGTCTTGAATGGTTAATTCTCTGGGGAAAAATGCATGCATGAGATGGTATGTTTTGCATGAAGAGATTAATGAAAAAAGTAACTCATGACTCCATGCATGACTTGGTCATGTGGCTTTGTTGCATGGAGATGGAGATGAAAAATAGATAGTGGGTTATGAGTGTGGACCTACTGAACCCATGCGGATATGAACCCGTTTTTTCAAAAAATGCATTTTAAACACATTTTAAAATATTTAAAAAATCCAAGAAAATTTCACGGATACATCTTCGCACCATGTGCGCGTGGCACAAAGTTTTATAGCTATTTAAGAATAGAGGATTGCATGAATCTTGGAGCTTGCTCAGTTGCTACGTCAGGTAAAAAAAATGGTTTGATATGAAACTGCCTCAAGCAAACACCTCCTCCCCGCATCAACTTATCTCTTCCCCCTCCCACTCTCTGTCGCGGCCGTCTCGAGCGGTTCCTCCTCGTCCACTTCTCTGGCGAGCTCCAACTCTCCACTATCCAGCGATACCGGCCGAAGTGCAGCGACGCAGCACTCAAATGCCGGCGATTCTCGGCATCTTTCCAGCCTCCAGGTGTTCGGTGCGGTAGAGGCGGTGATGGGATCGGGGGACGGTGCTGGTTGGGGCGCGGCCATTTGCGAGTAGCGAGAGCAGTGGTGGTGCTGGGCGGGAGCTGCGAGCTGGTAATGTCCAGAGCTACACTGTAGCCAGGGCAAAATGTGTCATGATTGAGGTGCGCTAGCGTCGAGGGCAAGGAGCGGAGGCGCATTTCGGTTCAGGCAATGCGCGCATGAGGCGAATATGTCACAGGTCCAGCGAGAGCGGTTGACGGTGTCCCGGATTGGGTGTCACTCACCACACCATCTCCCAGCCAGTTGTGCCGAGACGGCATAAAATCCTACTCTATCCAATATCAATACAACACAAGCAGGACATAGTGTTTTATCTCTTAGGAGAGCCCGAACCTAGGTAAAACTTATGTCTCTATTATCATCAAAGCTACTAGGTCAGGACCCCTTACCTGAGATCTATTGGAATCGATTCCATCATTGATGGTCCATGCATGTCCCGCTACGTAGTCGGAATCGATTCCATCATTGGTGGCCCGTGAGGCTGGAGGCCAGAACGGTCGGCACCGAACCTCTGCAGAGGGTTCCGATGCCGACCGTTCCGGCCTCCGGCCGCACACGCGAGGCCGAGTTCCGCCGCCGCTGAGCTCAACACCCCAGGACCTCCTCCACGACCCGACATCCACCGTCGACCCGCCGAACTGGGAGACTTCGTTCGCTGACGAGCATGAACAGCGTCGCCGATCCTTCTTTGCCGCTCGTGCGCGTGCTCCCAGTCCTCTCCACGCTCCAGCGCCACAGGAGGAGGCCGACGGAGCCTACAAGAAGGCCCTCGAGGACTCCCAGCTCGAAGAGCTCGCTAGGTGGCCCGGCCTGGCACTAATGCTGGCCGCATCAGCCACAGGTGATGCCGCCGTGCACGAACCGGAGTAGCTGGACCACGCGACTCGAGCCGCTGGCGTCACTGGCAGGGGTGCTCGTGTTTGTGGACGTCCGCGATGCCCCGCACCCCGGAGTCGTGAATACCCGAGTGGGTGAGCGCGGAACATGAGCAGGAGGAGTAGTGGCCGTCGGAGCAACAACAGCCGCCGGAGCCTGATGCGCCAGCGCCACAATCGTTAGCGGTATCGTGGTTGTTTCCACGGACAGTTCTATTCTTACACAGTCTCAGCGACGAGGACAACGACGACGGCCTTTATCATGTTTATTACTAGTTTTAATTAATGTATATATTTTTAATTCAAAAGATGTTCAAATTCTGAAATACCTTCCCGCGCACGCGGTGTCTCTTTCTGTCAAGAATTGGGGCTTCACAATCACTAGCCAATTTTTATCGGTTTACTTCTCGCATCTCGGTCAATTTTACTTTAAAAAGTGAGCGAGCAGAGCTGATAAGGATGGAGTTTCTCTATGATAAGATTTATTAGTTCCACATATATGAGTTGAGCGCTTTAACCATTCGGATGTAGAGCCTTTTTCCCTTCTGTTCTGCCCAATTACTTGGGGCACACATATGGGTTAACAGACAAAAAAACCCGGCCTTTAATTACCTAAACGGAAACAGACACATTACATGTCTGTTTGGGCCGGCGGGTTGGAATTGCCCAAAAAGTCCGGACCTTTACCGGAAAAGGCAAGAACCGCCGCAATCTTCCGTGGCCAGTCCCCTACAGGCACCGCCGCCGCCTCAGCCTCAGCCTCAGCCCCGCCGGACTCCCCTCACTCCCTCTCCCCCGCCCCGGCCCCGCATCCCACGCGCGTCGCCGCCGCCGCCGGCCCAGTCTTTCCTCGCCTGGACGCCGCGCTCCCGCCGTCTCCGCCCCGTCCGCCCACGCCCATTGGGTTCGAGGTACGAGGTTTCTCCGTCTTCGTCCGGCGGTCAGGCTCGATTCAAATCCCGCTGAACCTCACGGCTTCCGGGCGCGCGCCGTCTAGATCCGCCCTTGCAGCAGTCGCTGTGACGACCTGGGAGTAGATTGCGAAGGCAGGATTTTGATTTTGCCTGTTTGGTCCGAGCGATGCGCCGAGCAATGTTCTTGAACTTCTGCATGGGCTTTGTTAGACTTTTTAACTTTTCCTGCCGATGCTTGAGTAGTTGCATCTGGCCTGGTGGCTGCTTGCTCTGTTTCAGGTGGTGGTGGTACAATTGTAGGTTCCTATTAATGGAAATTTGGGCAACTGCCCTTTCATCGAAAGGGAAATCCTGAACTGAACCCGCATGCCGGCCCCTGTTTCTGTTTCTGGATGAAGCCTTGAAATTCTGGGTGGGAGCCATATCCCTACCCTTACACCCAGGAGATAGATAGATGAACAACCCTCCACTGCTGATAGTTGTTTTTATGTTTGATAGTTTTGTAAGTGTAAAGCCTGTGGACGCTTTTGCTACACAATGCTTGTTCTTGTTCAGATGATGCCCTTACGACGTTGTTTTTCATGTTTGCCAGCTCTGTTTATAAATCTTTGATGTTTTCCACCTCTTTTTATAAATGCCTTTGATGCTTGGCAGCTCTGTTTGTTTATAAATGTAAAACCTGTAGATGCGTCTTGCACAGTGCTTATGCTTAATTATATTCCGAGGAAATCACAGCCATTACAATCGAGTGACTGTTGCTAGGCGTTGTTATTTCCCGCAGAAGGAAGCTCCTATGGCGACATCCGACGAACAGGATCAGAAGGACCAACAGGATACCAAGGACGAACAACAGGCTCACAAGGACGACGACGAGCAGGCTGAGAAGGAGTACGCCGATTTCGAGGCGAGGGTCAAGAGGACGATATACATCGACCACCTCTCCCCCCTGGTCACCGCCCAGGTCATCAAGGCGTCTCTCGCCCAGTGCGCCAACGTCGTCAGCACCGAGTTCATTCAGAACTACACGATCCAGTACGAGATCCCCGCCGCTGCGTTGGTGGAGGTGGACAACGAGTCGCAGGCCCAGGCCGCTGTGGACCTGATGAACAACTTCCCGTTCATGCTCGGCGGGATGCCCAGGCCTGTGAGGGCTGTCTTTGCAAAGCCCGAGATGTTTCCGGACCGCCCTAGGAAGCCTGGGTTGAAGATTGAGTTCAGCTGGGTCAAGCAAGGAGATCCAGGGTATGATGGGATGAGTAAGCTCAAGGGCCTCGCAAGGAGGCAAGAAGCAGAAAATATGGCACTTATCAAGGTGAAGTGGTTGTTTCTTTACTTCTTTACTCTTCTTATTATGTACTTGTATGCCCAGTACTAAGAAAAGCTGCAAATCTTTCTGCTTTCCTTTACTTGTCTAAAATGAGAGAAACACTTGCTCAGGGAACAGGAAATATCAATCATATTTTGAGAATTTTGATGATGATGCTGTTCTTTCAAATTCGATACAGTTGCTTTAAACCTCGTTTGTTTTGTATCCGAGCCATAATTTCATCAAATTTTGTTCTCCATTTTGTTTCAGAATCAATTGGAAGAGGAGAAGGAGCTGGCGGCGCAGCAGCAGGAAACCCTGGAAGCAAGCAATAGCAAGTACGACATGCTCGAGAAACTCATGACCGACGGGGACATTACTAAACTCGCCCAGCATTATAAGGTCAAGCTGGGAGACAACTGATGAGTTCTCGGCGTACAAGCACCTCCCTCGGAGACTACGGTCGGTCACCAGTGCAAGCAGATCCTTGTTCTGCCGAGGGCATCCCAGTCGTAGATGTGATGGTGCGATAGTAATCATCCATTGGCTAGTCATCGAGCGTCGATTTGTTAGGTGCAGCCGCGCTCTAGTTGTGGCCAGCTGCAAAGCAGCAGTTCCTTAGTGTAACAACTGTGATCCGATCCGTTGATGGTACGCTTGGTGTGATAACAATCTTTGTATGACTTCCAAGCTTATCATGTCGGCAAGATGATCCAACGATGTCTGATACCATCTCCTGTATTGCTTGAAACTTGCTCGATATCGGTTATGTCGGTGCCCTCGGTTCCGCCCTGTCTGGCAGTTGTGCTGCTAGCTTGAGATGTTTTATGTTGGTCCTGAAGGTGTGTTGTTGCTTGGAGCAGGAGGGAATCATGTCTCTGCCTTGTGTTCCTTCCCAGGAATGGGCACATTGTCACAGTCACAAGGGCCATCTTCCCATGTCTTGGAACACAGGAGAAGGAGGTTTTGCCTGGCTGGAGAATCTTAGGAAGAAATGCCATGGCAAGAGGAACACCAGAGCTTTTTCACTGCTGTTGCTGCACCTGAATCTGCAATGGGCCAAGGAGGGGGAGTGCCCTGCTTCTGCCTCTGCTTCTTCTCAGAAATTTCTTCACCTCCTCTCACTTTCTGCTATTTCTAGGGGTAATATTGTGTCAGGTTTTCTGACTGCTAGAACTAGAATAGAATGATATGGTTTGGAATCATCACCAGCCAAATTGGTCTCCATCTATGCTTGCTTGTCCTACCTCCATCTTCCCAGATTTTTCTTACACTCTGTTTCAAATGCAGTGTAGACCTACCTTGTTTCAAATATTGTCAGGTCAGATCATACTGAACCTCAATGGAAAGTCCTACCATACACTGCCCAATGCCATAAATTGTTTGTCTGAAGAACATGCTCTGGACGCCGCAGTTTATATTAACAGAACAGAAGGAAAAAAACATTCTTTTTATTGCTGTGACAGAGATATTAGGAGCGCGTAGGGCTGCAATAAAAGTTCGAGGCTCGTGAGCCAATTGAGATCGGCTCATCTTTGGCTCGACTCTGAAAAGAAATAAGCTGAGTATAAGCCCTAGGCGCGCGGAGTCGGCCCCGGAGTTCACGCTCATCATCCAGTGCAAGACAGATGTGCGGCTGGCGGTGACACCGAGCGAGAGCTTCGGGCTTCGGGGGCCCCCGAGACCAAGGGGGCCCTTGCCCTGGTATGCGTCAATACCATCCTTACCACAAATCCCAGCCATTGAGAAGGCGTCGTCACTATCCTATCCGGGGCAAAATTGAAGGTGAAATTACGAAGGATGTTCCATTTATCTACTAAACTCCCCCTCTCCAAACTACGATCCTTCGTCAGAAATAGTTCAGTTCTAAAGAGAGCACATGTCAATCTTTTTAAACCATATCAAAGTTTTACCATGACATCATAAGGTCATACCATGACACCATGCCAAGTATCAGGGTTTTCAGACTTCATCTTCATTTTCTAGAATTAGGGAAACAATAAACTCCGCGTTTGAGGTTGACCGTTCGCCAAAACGTTATTTGAAAGTTTCCTCGTTTTCAGACTTCATCTTCATTTTCTAGAATTAGGGAAACAATAAACTTCGCGTTTGCGGTTGTCCGTTTTCCAAAAAGTTATTTGAAAGTTCCCTCTATTCCTTGCATATGGCATGTACATGTGCACAAGACCCTGGGTATGAATTTTCAAGTCACTTGTCTCCACTAGTTCGTGTACTGGCAGTGCAAAATTGAATTATTTCAGCTAGATGCTATATAAATGCACTAAATAACTTAATTATAGCAAATGGTGCCTGAAAAATGCCAAATTTGAACATGAAGGATTGTATTGTGTATGAAGAGCATATAAAACATTGAAATTGATGCAACGAAATGTTCCAAATATCAAACTTGACAAACCCCCTCTCCAAACCACGATCCCTCGTCTGAGATGGTTAGAGAGAGAGAGAGAGAGAGAGAGTACATGGCAATCTTTTCCAAACCATCTCAAATTTTTACCATGGCATTATCAGGTCATATCATGACACCATGACAAGTATCAGGTTCCAGACTTCAGTCATTAACTTGTAAAATATGTACTACATCGTAAAATCAAATGATCCAGCATAACACATGCATATGTAATCCACCAAAAAATATACCGAGTTTCCAAAACAAGAACGATTCGGAAGAAACTCACAAAACCAATCAAGCCAGTAACTCATAAAGCCCCCGGTGCTGCGTGCCGGACGGGAGGGCCAGGCAACGTCGCCCACACTACTACGAGAGGCGATGGGGGGCCGCATCTCGCTTCGCAAGCTGCCGCCCTGATCTAGATGCGAGCGGCCCAATGCATGCGATGCGGAGAGCAACCACATCCACATCGCTCTCGTTGCCGCCAGAGCCAGAGCTGTTGCGGTCATCTGCCATGGATCGGATATATATGAAGAGAAAGCGGTGGATTGGGAAGCAGAGTGGATGGAGTGGAGTGGACTGAGCGGGCTGTGGTCTAGGGTTCATCAGAGGGGATATTTGTGGGGTCAGTGATGGGTCGGGCTGAAGTGGCGGATGCGCCCATGCCGCCTAATATCCGCCCTATATTTGAGCTAGATACGAGGGATGACGGACGGCCGAGAAGGTTTTAGTTCCTTGCTTTCCTTTTTGATTTTTAAAGTCGTCGGGATTACTTCTCCGTCCGGAAATACTTGTCCATGATATTGTTGGCCAAACGGACCGTGCTAACTGGGCCGGCCCGATAGCACGCAGGAACGGCACGGCCCATGCACGGCACGACCCGGGCTAAACGGGCCAAGCCCGATATGCAGCACGCCATGGGCCATGCCTGGGCCGGCACAGCCCGGCTATTAAACATGCCACGGCGGGCAGTGCCGGGTCAGGCCGTTTGGCCATGGGGCCGGGATCACCTACCCGCCTCTCGTTGTCTCAAAAAGAAAAAAACTACCTTTAGATGCTGAGGCCGTCCTACAGATTCCATTGTGCACGAGACAAGTTGAGGACTTTTGGGCTTGGGCCGAGGAGCGAAAGGGTGTCTTTTCTGTCCGATCGGCATATCGGATGATTCAAAGGACGAAGTTAGGCCGGGAAGCATGGCTGTACGAGCAGGGCGGCTCCTCCGTCTCCCACGTGGCCGAGCAAGGCTGGACTGACTTATGGCGCATCAGGGTCCCTTCCAAGTTGAAGTTTTTCTTGTGGAGGTTAGCCAGAAACTCGATCCCTACAGCTGCACTTCTCCACCATAGGAACATGTCAACCTCCAGGGCGTGCTGCTTATGCGGGTCTGAGGATACATGGCGTCACGCTTTTGTGGACTGCTCGGTATTTAGAAGCACTTGGGCACTGTCATCGCACGCTGTTTTAGACAAGTTGAGCACATGTACAGATGAAAATCCAAAGAAGTGGCTGTTTATCATGCACGAAGCTCTCAACCAGGATGACTTTCTTGCGTTTGTGGTTACCCTCTGGGTACTGTGGAATTCACGAAGAAAGGCTATGTACGAAGATATCTTCCAAACCCTCTTCGCTATTCACAACTTTGTAACATCTTATATAGCAGAGCTACGGGCACTCCAGCAGCCAGGAGGGGTCGGTAGAGGGGCGGCTCAACGGAGGCCAAATCGTTGGCTTGCACCTCCGGAGGGATTATCCAAAGTCAATGTTGATGCAGCAGTGGGAAGAGTGAACGGAGCAGTGGCAGCGGTCTGTCGGGACCGAGATGGTGTGTTCATGGGAGCATCGGCCGTAGTTTTCCCACATCTGTCAGACCCCGGTATCCTAGAGACACTCGCCATCAGGGAAGCCCTGGCGCTTGCGGATGATCTTTACGCCAGAAGGATTCACGTTGCATCTGATTGCAAGGTGGCCGTGGATAATATTCACCATTCATACAAAGGGAGCTACGGCGCAATTGTGCATGAGATCATGCAATATAGACTATCTTTTGAAACTTGTAATATTATTCATGAATTTAGGAGCTCGAATATCGAGGCTCACAAACTTGCAAAGCACGCTTTATCTTTGGGGGTTGGCCGCCATGTTTGGTTAGGCCAACCCAATGAACTTGATTTCGTCCCTGTAAGCATTGTGACGGAGTAATAAAGCTTTGCGGTTTGTCTAAAGAAAAAAAAAACTACCTGCCTCTCTGGAAAAATAATTGCTCCACTCTCTTTCGGCTCACCCTCTCCTGGAATTCGAATTCCAGCGAGCCAACGGAGAGAGGCGAGCGCCGCCTCCTCCCCGAGCCCACCACCGGAGTCCTTCCCGAGCGCGAGACCTAGGGTCCAAGCCTCCGCCGCCACCGCCGGCCCTCCGCCGCGGCGCGCCCAGCCAGCCGATCCCCCCCGCCGCCCCGCCGCCGGCGCAGCAGCGCCTCCCTCCCCGTCCCTGGAGCAGCCGCCCCCGCCCGGAGCTTCGCCGCCGACCGGTCCACAGGCAGCAGGT